ACCAGGGCAAGCTGGGAAGGGCTAGCCTCCCACTAGTTTGAATTAAGTGGCTACACAGCCCTTAATTCGAACTACTTAATTCGAACTAGGCGTTAGTCCTCGTAGAATGAGGTTTACCTAGTTCGAATAAAGCGCTCCACTAGTTCGAATTAAGTTCGAACTAGCGGTTTGTATGTGTAGCGCCTATCAAAGTTAATTTGAACTAACGTCTGTTAGTTTGAATTAACTTTGTAGTGTAGACATACCCTAAGAGAATTCTTATTTTCTTTTGTGACTAACCAGTTAAGGAGAAGAGCTCGCTTTGTCTGCAACTGAGGGTGGTAATGAAGGAACAGGTGGGAGCTGGACCACACACATGAGGAAAAGAGCACGAATGTTGCGAGACGCTGACCGTGCATGTGTGGTCCAGCTGAGTACTGCTGTTCAAAATTCTGATCTGCAGTGTCGGGACGAGCCTGACACCCACGGAGACATCACTCAAAGAAGAAATATTGCATTTTATTAATATAAGCAGAAGTGACTTTAATGGGGCTTGTGTGTTGTGTAGTCTTGCCTTAATCTTTGTATTCTTGTCCATCAGTGTGAAAGAAGCTATTTGAACATATTTGCATATATATTTGCAACTTAAGTTGCGGCCCTAGGCATGTGCTGTGAGTATCATTATGGCCTCTGGGGCTTACCAAGTTCAGTAGCTCTGCATTAGATTCTCTCCCCTCCTTGTAGATGAAGCAATTTTGGGGGTTCTTGTGGCTTCTAAGCCATGTATATTTTATATTTTTTCCCTTTCTGGGTTGTTTTCACTAAATGGGATGACATGTTTCTAAATGTCTTTTCTTGTGTTTGGGTGCAAGAACGAGTAAGCCACTTTGTAAAATGTTGTTAGATAGTCAACATTATGGACCAATGGTTAAGAATTTAGTTTAATGAGGTGGGTTTCAATCTTCCAATTCTGGGATAATTCAAGCAACAAAATTACAATCTGTCTTCTATGAGTCTCTAGAACATAACCTGCATATTTCCAAGTGCAAAACTCCATTCTTAACATTAACTTGGTGGATCTTGATGAAAATAGCAAAAAATGAGATAGAACACTGATAAAAGCTTCCATCTTCACTTCCATGTCACTTTTTGTAAAACTCAGCGTAGTCCAGGCCAACTGCCAGTAGATATAATACATTTTAGTTGTACTCATAGCCAGGACTCGCCGAACCGCGCTGTCCAGCAATCTGCGCATGCGCAGATCGCCGGAACCCGGCTCTTCTGGGTTACGATCTACTCACCACAATCTACTCATCACCATTTGTCGAGCCCTGCTCATAGCATTGCAGCTATCCTTCTACAAAGTAGTTTTATAGATTAAAGGTAATTAGTTTCATTCTTATGAATAGTAATTACAGCCATTGCCTCTCAAACTAGAGTGAATATCCCTATATTTATATTTAAAACAACAGTAACATTTTAGATAACCAAACCTGGACGCAGTTGGATTGAAACCTGTCCTGGAGTTACTTGTGTATTAGCCTTGTGGTCACTGGGTACTGTTACACGACTGGTGGGATTTTCAATAAATTCCGATTGGCAGCCTTTTTTTATTAAATTAAAAACCATGTCACATCGTCCCTTCTGTGTTGCTTCTGCCATGAAATCCTGTATGAAATGGGGCAAAAAGTACAAAACATTTTAAGTTTTAAAAAAATCTGTAATTTTCACAGGAACTCAAGTTACCGTTTAACAAGTGTTTCAAACAATAAAACGTCATTATAATCACATAGGCTGTTGTACAAGGCTATGGAAGGAACATGTTTTTAATGACAACGACAAGAAAATATTTAAAATAGAAGTTAAATCTAATTGCTAACATTATTTTTTCTTTCAAGGACAAAACGTTTTGAATAGAGAGGATTTTGCACAATTAGAACAAGCTGCTTTTGGAAAAACATGGTATGTACTGTCATTATGTCACTGCAAAATTGTTTGTGCTATATTCACTAAAGCAGTTCCACCAAAGTTATGTGATCCACACTTACCTATTTTACTTAACAAATTTTACTGGGTCTACTAGAAATTTTGTTTACAATGATATTTTAAAATTAGGACCTCTGTTTATGGTTAAGTTTCTCAAGAAGTGGCCAGACTTTTAAGTATTCAGGAAACACAGCAGCTCTTACTGAAATCAGAGGGAACTGCTAGATTTTTGAAACTCTTTTCTGGGGCGGTTGGGATAATGAAAGGTTATTTGAGTGTTGATGAGAAGGAATCCCACTACAGGCAGTCCCCGGGTTACGTACAAGATAGGGACTGTAGGTTTGTTCTTAAGTTGAATCTGTATGTAAGTCGGAACTGGCATCCAGATTCAGCCGCTGCTGAAACTGACCAGCGGCTGACTACAGGAAGCCCGAGGCAGAGTTGCTCTGCCCC